CAACTCTCTTTTTACGGTCGCCAACTTCCCCCACCTATTCATCGCATAATGGTTGCCGTTGTTTATTTACATCTGCGTCCCGGTAATTGAGTAAACAATAGTTCATTCAATAAATAAAAAGAGAATTTGAATAATGAGATCACAAGCACCGACTAAATAATAGAATACGCTTATTATCAGGCGCCTCATTTCGCTCTTAGGTTCCATCTCCTCCACCTTGTTCTCTCTCAGCCCACGTCATAGTATACCGCACGCAGTTCACAAAACTGAAGAACGCAAAATGTGTACTGAACAGTTTATCACAAACTTTAATTTTCTGACTCAAATAAGTAATCTAATAATAAGTTATACAAAAGAATCTAAATGATGAATGCGATAGAGATTGAATTGCGCAGTGTGAAGGGTTCTGTCGGGCTCGACGATTTATCGCAAACCTCTTACTATACAACGTTCCCATTGCCAATGATTACCATACGCCCTTAATGAAACTTGAGCATAGTTCTGAAGTCAATTAGTTCAAACCTCCCTGGCCAATAATCGATTTCATAACTCGTTTTGGCAAATTACACTCTGGAGCCTTTCCGGGCAGTCAGATCAGACAAACGTCCGGTTAAATTCAATTAGTTATCGGACTGGGGACACGTGATCACACGAACCTGAACCAGCCTATTCATTTTCAACTTTATTCTCTTCATCGCGTTGCTTGACGATCTCAGGGAAACTGGTTCAGTTCGAGAAACGACAGTCCGAACTATAACATCAAATCAGAGTGAAAATTCCACACAAGCACCTTGCATTTCCTTGCGTTTTTCTTCGCTATTCTCCTGTATATCCTATTGTCATTTTTTTCTGCAAAACGGGTTTTATGTTGGTCAGTTTTCTATTCTGAACTTTATATCTTGCCTTCTATTACTGCGGGGCATGATTGTGAAACAGAATCATGAAGTGCCTCCTGTGAACATGTCAAGAAGGCTAACTGCTGTTTCTTGATTTATTCCGACCCCAGTTTCTACTGAACTTTCTATGCTAGACTCAGCTTCGATATCGGTTATATTGAATTTGTGTTAGCTGTAACGCTCAGGATTAGTTTTGCTGAATCTGTTGAAACGTGTGGAAATTTCGTATTAGTTCAGAATTTTCTGAAAGATAATTCAAATTACTCATTTTCCCATTTGTTTTTTATTACCACAGATATTTTCTTTGATTACTTTTTACATTCTGGTTGGATAGTGATTCAGGCTCGTTGCTGAAGGCATGACTGCTTTATCTATTTGCGATTATTTTCCAAGTACTAACAAAATAGACTGTTTTTCGATCGACTTGGTTTTCGATAACTTTGGGCTGCGCTTTACCCTGAGATTTGATCAGAGCTATGCAGAAAGAACGAGGAGTTATTTGATTGAGCGGATATGGCCGAGATCGTTTGGTTTCGCTCGGACCGAGTCAATCTTTTCGATTCTCACACTAAATGTTACTGAGTGGACGAGGACATGAACTGCACAGAATGTCAGCATCCTCTGGTGTGCTAGTTAACCTGTTCCCCGGTGTTATTCATTCCAAATGAGGGATCAAACCAAACAGAGTTCGGGATTCAAAACCCCTATCGGTTTGACACCATATTTGGTCAGAATTTTATGCGCTTTACCTGAACATCTATGATCTGGGACTCGGGGTTGCAGGCTACAACTTAAGGTTGATAGTGAGAACATCTTAAAACATCCTAAAATGAACAATTGATCGTTGCACATTTTACAAGCGCTATGTGGATGACATTTTGTGCTTTGTCAATGATTGTGTGCTTTCGTCAAGACTCTTGAAAGTATTTAATTCAGCTCATCCAAACATTAAGTTTACTCTAGAGAACGAAGAGAATGAGCACATTGTATTTCTGGACGTGTTACTATGCCTTCGACCAGGGCGCAAAGAATATGTACGGACGATACCCTTGATGCGAAATTGTGGTTTATTCAATTCCTGCAAAACGGATACCCCTTGCGATTTGTGGATAACATTTTGGGTCGTCACCGGTTACCAAATACGACCATTACTGCGGAGAAGAAACCGGTTTACATGTCGCTACTTTTCAAGTGCGACACGACTGCCGATATGGTGATATGTAAGCTCAGTACAGTTGTAGAAAAGGCATTCCCCGCGGTAAAACTGTATATTATGTTCAACTCCGGGCCACTTCTGTGCTTTCAACTCAAAGATTAATTGCCTATTTCTCTTTTTGTGTATACCTATTTACCTGTTCCTGTGGGGCAAGGTACATTGGCCGCATGAGCAGACGTTTATCTGAACGAGTCCGTGAGCATCGCCCGGCCTGGTTGAACAGTGGAGTAAGTAGGACCATTAACAGCTCAATCGTTTCACACCTAATGGAATCAAACCACGTAATTAATGTGGCCGATGCGTTTTGAACCCACTACTTGGTTCGCACCCGCCGATCTAAGAGGAGTAGGAGTCGCATTTTAGCCATAGCGGAAGCGATCGGAATCCACCTAGATAATCCCCCCATTAGGCTCCCAAAAGCAATTCGTAAGAACACTCGGTCTTCCATGGCCAACACCACACACGACACAGCCATCCCCCCACCCGCCCCTAATAACCCAAACAAGTGCGCATGTGTGAGGACCAAAGTGTGAGTGACATCCGGTCATGGAACTGGAATGTTGATTATCTCTTTTCCAACTTGTCTTGATCTCTCTCCTCCCTACCAAACAGTTTGACATAAATTGTGATGTATTAGCCTGTAGAAAAATCACCGCAAACTAGCCTGTTTGCTACTTTGTGTTTTCTCACAGTGGGTCTGGATGGTATATTCGGACAAGTGAGAAGCAAATCAAGGCGGTGCAGTTGGTGCATTTCCAGTGGTATCTTGGACAGTGGTATCTCTTGGACATGGGCCACCAGATCGGTCCGGCGAAAGCATTCAATATGGTGTTCTGCAAAGCACCCAATCGTCTATAGGCTGCTGCTGTCCGATTGCTAGGACGTTATATCAGTCATTAGACGAGACTGGATATGTCACTTTCGGCCCCAACTGGAGAAAGGTCATACCAAATGACACCCACCATACGTGGGTTCAAATCCCGCTGAGGGATTAAGTGACTTTTCCCAATAGAAGCATGGGACAGTGAGGTTATTAATTCGCATAGAACAGAAGATCAATAAAATGCAACCGACCAATTTTAAAATGTTCTTGTTTGGACTCGTATGAGCATGATTAAAATTCACAGAAAATAATAATTGTGTCGCCATGCCACGCCACACCACGCCAGATTATTATATCCTCAGTTATATCATCCCCTATTGCGGTTTGTGAATTTCAATGAAAAAAATGAATTCCTGGGCAGAAAGGGGAAGGATATGATTCTAATTTAGGCCAACATCCTTTGTGTCTTAAAAGGAGGTTATATGCCGGAGAGTTTTGTTCTGTTTTTCCCTTGAGCGTCGATCTGACCTCACTTCACTTCTAACTCATGATTCATTTCGGGCTTGGAAGATATTCCTCGTGAGAACGAACTTGTCTCCACTGCTACACACATCGATAGAGCAGTTAAATGTAACTGATTTAATTTTCTCACATAATCAATGGTTTTGATGAGACATACAAAGTTACAAAGTAAAAGTTGATTGTTTGTGATATTCAGCAGATGATGATCACAGATATTGTACCGTTTAATTCGGGCACAAATCGATCAAGACAATGAATGATTTGTCGAAACATCAATGCACTACACGAAAACGGATCTAGCTCTGCACTGACCTGCCGGTTCGCGAGATACGTGAAACAATCTGGCAATCTTGTTGTACGGATGTTCATTCTAACATGAATCGCCAAACACGAGGATGACCAGGCCCGATCAGTTTGAAAGTGAATAGTTTGGGGATTTTTGAATGGTAACAGTTACAGTGAAAGACGTGAGTAATCGAAATATGAAGTGAAGGGCACGCATTCGGGACAACTTGGATCGGAAAACCTGTGTCTCACTTTGGGCGCATATTCGACTCAAACACACATTCTCCTGAGGAGGATGATTGATTGAAATTGATTTGCAGAGTGTACTGAAGAATGAAACTAACGTTAAGCAGAGAAGAGGTTTAGTAACTTTGTAATCTACCGATCAGTTGACTGAATCACCGTCCCATTAACCGAAATAACGCGCGACGGCTAACAAAAAACTTCAGTGGAGAGACGGCTAGTCTCGCAACTGTAAAGCAAAATATTTCGGATTATAACTTTGATCGACCGCCCCTGTCGAGGAATATGTAAGTCCTAATCGCATATCAGATTTCCTTAGTCAGTGAACACCGAACTGGCTTTTGGGTCATGCAGTTTTCTCCAATTTCGATTGTCAGTTGAAGAAGCACTCAGAAGTAAAGTGTTCTCTATACAGAACCAACTTCAATCTCGAGGTGGTTTCGTACGGTTTGCATTGTCTGTATGCATTCAACAGGTTTGCACCGGAACAAAGTTCGCTTAAGTTTATCCGACCACGAGGATGTACTACTCACTCCATAAACAGAGCTGAAGTGAGCCGGAGTTTGACAATCTAGTCCAAATTCCCTACTCGTCCGTTAGTAAAAAGTGAACAAAACTCACAAATTGTGAGCACAGAATGATAGAATACTATATGTATGCTCTGATAAACTCCAATCCGTTTTTCGCATTTATTAGTTTTTTTTCTCTGAATCTCAACAAATGCCTGATAGGTTGAATGTTTTTGATAGAGTATTTTCGTTGAGAGAAATGCATGTGCCCGCAGCCAGGACAAAAAGAGATGTGGGCTCAAAATTTTAGACGATTTATTATCTGAACATATGGTAACGGTAAATGGATAGACCAATCGCTTTATGACCTTTTGTTGACATGGAATCTTCTATACACGAGTGTACCAAAGTTACTGCAAACTTTGATGAATAAAACACACTCGAATTCAATAAAACTGCTTTCGCAAAAATAATGACGAACGATTTATGCAGATTGTACTACTTACCTCCTGAACCGCATCCGCTTTTCTCTACTCGATACTGGTAAACGTGTAGGGTGAAAAACAAATGCGACGGAACTTCCGCACGGGGAACGGACTGTTCCGATTCACCGGGACCGGATTCGTCGATATCTGCACTGGAGATCTCGGGGCACGTTTGATGTGTTTGTGCAGCCAGAGCACAGTCCAGGAAAAAGGCGGCCTTCTCGGCAGTTGGTGCTCGAAGTTCGCTCTGGTTTTCCAGTTGCATTCCAGATATGGGATCCTCACGAAGATATACACTGGGAGCGTTTGCCCCGGCCGCATCGGAAGCTAGACGAGGGAGGCAATGTGATTAGGTTAGTCTGACGAGTGAAACGTTTCAAATCAAGGGATTCAATTGATTTTCGATTGAATTCAATCATTTACACGGCGATGATCTCCAAAATGAAAATAATTTATCCCCACAGAAATTTACAACGAACAGAAGGAAATCGAGTTCTCAAATATAAATTACAGCATGTGGTGCCGAAATGGAGCAAGTTGACCAAATTCACTTTGCGAGGCTCAGAAGGTTAGCGAGTTGAGCTACCAGTTGTGTGTGTCTGGCTAAGTTCGACACCGATGGGTTTAGAGGCCCCTACATATAATAAACAGCATGAACGCATGGAACGTATTCTGCTGAAACATATTCTTATTTAAAGTGTTTTCAAGCTACGTTTAATACAGATTTGACGGTCACTGATTCGACGTGTTGTGGCCTGTCATAACACGCTGGATTGCTTGAATTGGCTAGTTCTATTGGATAAAGTGAGTGGGAATTGTACATACGGTGTGACGGCAAAGCGATTTTGGAGACGAAACGGATGGTGTTTGCATACAAATAGATTAGTTCTTCAAAACTACAATGTTCCAGTCAGTAGGAGGAATCTTACGCGATCACGTTGAAAACCAATCCAAAGATTGCGTTTCCCTCTTCCGACCTGCTGTAAGCGGCCACGCCGGTGTTGATAAAATCCTGATTCCCGTCAGTTCACAATTTCTGGCTCTCCTCAAACCAAATTAACCCCGGATCCGGTCTGAATGGCAACTGATAGGGGGTCTGGTATAGAGCAATTTTTAGCATTGCCTCCGATCAGAAGTCATATGATTTTTCGACTCCACACGATCTCGGGTAGTAGGTATAATTATTCATCGTTGGACGCGTCAATTTAGAATCATCTACCACAAAAACAGTTTGTTTGGAGTGAAATGCAATCAATACCCGTCCTAAATTCAAACTATGTGAGAGCAAGAATTAGAAATGTCCAAGGGTATTGATCACAAAGTTTGATCACGGCTAAATTTTGGTTTATCATCTCCGCTTTGTTTCGGTTGCATGCAATAAAACAGTTCGCCGAGGCAATTGCACGGAACCCCAGTTACAATCCACAGAACCCGGAATAAACAAACACACACACACCAACTCACCTTGAGCAGCACTTGTGAGCAGATCACGCAACGACTCATCCTCACCGACTAGTTCGACCGCGGAAACTCGGACAGAGAATCGAGCTCCAGTGCGTTCTTTCTGTTCTGAGATCAGGCGAAATAACCAGGCAATGGCGCACGGAAGCAGACCAAATCCGATAGGACCGCGTTTGTCTTCACCGATCATGGTGGTGATCGTGGCGGTGGTGGTGGTGGTGGTGGTTGCCGCGGTGCTGATGTGCGGTTTGTCTGTAATCCAATGTGCATGGGCGTGTGTGCATGTGTATGTGCCCGCGTGCGTACACGCGTGCAATAATGATGATGATAATGACGACGACGAGATAATGTTGCAACGAGTTGTGTTTGTACAGATGAGCACGACGGCATCCCCATGCCCCACGTCCGCGCCGATCCCGTGAGTGTGTGTGTGTGTGAGAGAGTACAAGCGTTAGATGCAATTAGGCGCATGTGAGCAGATTGTGGGAGATAAAATATCACACAAACAAAACAAAACAAAAAATTGATTCATTTTCGATCGATAATGAGATGGAAAATGATGTTTTAATAACATGAAAATGAGACAATGCATCCCCGCAAACAAACAAAAACGATTTTTATTCGGTGGATTATCCCAATTGCAAACACAAATTCAAAAAAACGAAATGGAGCAGTGATGTGTGTGTATGTACATTTTAATTGGGCAGATTAGACGGAAATGGAAACAAGATTTACCGTGAGTGTTGCCAGAGGTGCACATGATGCATAAAACTCCTTCGTGAATACGTGGATACTCGATTTGCTAACTTGAATATTATAACACTATATTTATCCTAAATACAACTTTTATCCCAAAATCTTTTAAATGTAATTTAACCAGATGTGATGACCGGGTTCAGACTTCATGAATTCTCTGGGAGCTGTACCATACTTCTACAATAGCGATAAAATGGAGCAGGTTTCACCCGCACTGTTTGAACTGCTAAACCTACATCGGATAGGATAGCTTCGGCCAAAGTTAACCAACATCAAACACCTTGATCACTTCAACATACTTGTTACTTTTGTATGTTCCTATGTTCGGCGGCTTTCTCCAGCATAAAGTATGAATCGATGAGGGATCGTCAGTGGATAAAGTGCATTCATTGTTCATGCTGTCAGCTTTTGAACTAATGCCTACAATTCGGTCACACGCTAACCGACCCGGACGATCTGTTTCACTTGCACAAACACCGTTGATATCAGTCTAACGCATCCTGGTGTTCAGCCCTTTGAATCGAAATTGGATAATTATCATTACTTCTATCGACATAGAAATGAATGTACCCCAGTCCCTCTCCTCTCTCTCCCGAATGTGTGTGTGTGTGTGTGTGTATTTTCACTGTTTAACAGACCGATATTTTTTTTCTTAGTAGAATATTTATCAGTCCCCATTCCCCATCCCCGGGGTGTCTCTGCATCAAACGTGAGNAACTGTCAGCGTTTTTTTTCTTCTGTTTACTTAACACCTATGGCATATAGGTATGATATAGAATCCAGCTTTTGTGACATCAAAGGCGCTGTCTTCTTGCATTCGGTTACGTTTGTCCTTCCAACACAGAAGCCAATATCATGAGGTTTTCAAATCAAAGTTGTGATTCCAATTTTTCTGATCAGTTCTAATCTTCTCGTTTTGCCAAAAACGGTGGACACAAAAACATAGTGAAATAAACACCAAATGGCGCACGAGCTGAACAACCCCATATTCCCTCATTATGAACAAAGGAACTGACAGTCTCACAGAGGCAACGTTTCAAAGCTTCCGCTCATTGACTCCCAAAAAAATTTCCTTCGCAGAACAGATAATGAACGGTATGACCATTTTTGAAGAAGGGACCTGTTAGAGGGTTGTCACGTAGTACTGCGAAATGAGGATCAATTATGTGGTCCCGGTAGCGATAAAGTTTGACCATATGACCAGCAGATTTGAGGTTCCCATTGATGCTTGTTGTATTCTCTTTGTCACCTTACGCAAACATTTCAGATGCTTCCGCAGTCATTGATATATCTGTTCTCAAGCAAACAACCTCCAATGACAAAAACCGGTCCGCCGTGCCAAGTCAATCCGATCAATTATCGCTGTCTTTTTCCGTATTCCTTACAATCTTATAGTTTAAGAGAGATTATTGTCACATTATCGAATTAGGCCGCTTATCATTCCAAACGATGGAGCACCTTGCATGGGAAAGCTTTATCTCTATTCTTCCCGGGATTCTTTTACCTGCTGATGTGATAATCAAACTCACCGATCATTTGTCAAATATCGTGCACAAGGTGTGCAACTTAGATGTCCTGCTCGCTTTGAATATGTGCTTCGGCAGTGTGAATAACAGAAGGTTCAGTCCAGTAAATCCATGAACCTAAGTAAGACCTGCGTGGTAGCCAACCCGATAAGAGTGGTCCAAAAGGTCAGTGATGGTGTCAAATTGCTTAAAGAAAAGTGTCCTATAACCAAAGTTGGATGGCATTCGAAGAGTTCGACCCACAGACTTTGGTACTTCGAGTGGATATCCACGCAAACCACTGGATTGCCATCCTCTCCCCCCCACCCACCCACCCGGTGGAAGGGACTGTTAAACCGCCGTGCGTGATGATCATGTGCGTGTGCGTATGTGTGCATGTGTGCATGTTCTTGCCACCGACGCTCACCGACGCGTCTGAGTAGTGTGACGTACACGTTGCTTGTATGTTTTTTTTTTTTTGATATTTCATCGTTTACGGATCTTTTTAAACTATACCTTTTTCAGTTTAAGATGTCCAAATATCAATTGAAGATGTCACAATATGAGTATAAGATGTCCGAGTATCACTTTAAGATGTAATGTTGCTATGTGAATAGTGCTTTGCACAGTACAGAGTGAAAATGTTCGATGGTACCCCCCGTTTACTCAGATCCATGTGCGGCTTACCTGCATACTGATCTATGGCCCCCGAAAATATCGTCCCACGCTCAGCAAAAATATGCATGGACGATTGCAAATGTTCCACTACCATTTCACGGCGTCCGCTACTACCCCTTTTGTAATGAGAACACTTCATTCATGAGACCATGAACGTTCAGTCAATTGCTCGTTTGCTTGATCAAGTGAGAAATGTGGTCATCGTGTGAGAGACCCCACCAAACCCTAAAGCGCTCCTTTTTGTTTCGTATTCAATCAAGCCTTTGTCGGTTTGCATATGGTGGCATAGCTCTGACTGAAATGTGAGTTGCATTGTCCAATCCGTGTGTGTGCAAACAAGCAGACAAGATCATCGTCGGCGCATATTTTTGTTGAGCGTGGGACGATATTTTCGGGGGCCATAGATCGGTATGCAGATCGGACGTACATGGATTTGGGTAAACAGGGGTCCCATCCAACGTTTTCACTCTGTACTGTGCAGGGTACTATCCACATAGCAACATGACATTTTGCATTCATATTGTGACATTTTAAATTAATATTCGGACATCTTAAACTGAAAAAGGTATAGGCCATTCTTTTATCTATAGGACATCAAGAATCAGACGTTACCAATACAGATAAAGCAGTAAATGAATCGTCTGCTCTCGATCAGAAAAATGTTATTCTTCTGAAAACGTTTCTCTGTAAGCTGTTATTAGTCCGGCTGCACTCAAAGTTCCTGGAAAAAAGAGGCGAATATTTTCTTCCACACAATAGTTTCCAACTTCCTGCTAAATTGAATTGCATCAAACAAATTTTGTCTACATTTGATTTTTGCAAAAGTTCGCTTTGTTTTTCCCTAACCACGAAGAGGATGAAATTCACCAGGTTGCTTCCACGTGGACTCAGGATTTTTGCTTATAGTCCAGCCAATAATTGTACACGGAACAAGAAGTATGCTCAGTCATTCTCTCGATTGGAGCCTTACTGTATTTACTCGTCCCATTGGAAACCTAATCTCACAGTTACACAAAGGGTTGACGTACCAATTACACATGTCAGACAAATCGGTAATCGTAAAATTGGGTTTTGGAGCACAGTTTGAACTGTGTTCAGTATGTGGCTGTCATGTTTGGGACTACAGAGCCACTTGCTGTCGGACAGTCATGATCCCTGATAACGAACTCGATAGTCATCAAACGCTGATGAATAATCAAAAATCTAGTCGACTGAGAGAAATCATTTTGAACAATACACACTAGTGATGACGCAAGAAGGCTCAACGTTACCGATTAGATTAACACTAACCTGTGCAACCCCGTTTTGTACCGAGAAGAAGATTATTTCTACTATCTTCGATTTGCCTTCTTGATCCTCACCCCCCCACCCTCACCCATCACCTCTACCCTCATTTGGATTTATGTTTCACGCTCAACTGCCCGATCCCATNTGAATGTTGCAATAGTTTCCTTACAAAAGCAGCAAAATCCCCGGGGACATAAATCAGAATTTTTCAATACTGGCCTCTCTTTTCATTTGCACGCATTCAGCAGGAAGTTATTTGTGACCCAATCCGGAGTTCCGCGTTTCCGTTCCTCTTTTTGATGTTCTTACGTGGAAAAACATCAAAGACTGGACAAATACATAAATACATTGCTGTCATCTTGCAGTTCCCGATACAAGGTTTACCATTATCAAACCATGTTATTAGGCCTTACCTATACTGGTTTCCGGCCTTTATAACCTTCGCCTCAGATTGCGGCGTCACTCTGACTGCCCGGGCAATCGATTCTCCTCACCACGACTGGATATCCGGGAAGTTCACCATTTCTTCCCGGTGCACCGTGCACTGACATACAACCAAAAAAGAACACTCCGTTCGGCGCAACCGAACTTCCATGTCAAAATGTTTGACTGCTAGCGTAGATTTCTATGCCAACGAACACGGCCGGTCAGTGGTGATGAACGGAGTTACAAAGATTTTTTCCCGCCCGACTGCTGCCGTTGCTAGGTTAACGGGCTCATTTCAATTGTGATTTTGTTATTAAATTTATAAGATAAATTATTATGATGCTCACAAATTAATGCATGGCCAGTGTTTAATATGACATGGCGTTTGGGCGATTTCCTAAAAATATCAGTTTTGGATTAATATGCCAATGAAAAAGAAATCAAACCAGTTGTGTTTTCCGATTGTTGTTGTTTTTAATCAAACGATCAATCAATCAAAATGAAGAAGTAATTTAAAAATGGCTCATTTGGTAATTATCATCGTATGAAACACCTGGATGATACATACATTGTCACGCTTATAAAGAAGGCGAATAAAGAAACTGGATATCAGGGGCATTGTTTATTTTATTTGCCCGTATCCGCTCGTTTCTGCTGTGTACCGTTTGGTAGTCCACAGTCTTCCGTGAGTGAGCCTCTCTGAATAAACACTACTTGGTATCAGTATATCAGTAGATTATTATCCGCACTGATCACAAAACATTATTTTTAGTGCTGCTGACCGCAAACTTTTCAGCAATCAAATGATATACCTTTGAGTGGGCCCACAGTGTATCACTTCAAAATTATTTACGCAATTACGCAAATACGTAGGAAGGAAGATAACGCGATTCATTTTATATATTTCTAACTTCCAAACCACTAGTTTGGGTTTTCCTTCACAAGACTGACAATTCTTTTGGTGCTACTGACAGGAAATTTCTGATGTTTTTCAAAAACTGTTACTCATATCTGATACAATTGTGTTTTATAACTAGCCGATTTCATAGAGTTCGACTGTGCAAAGATTTCCGATATAAACATCACTAAATAATGCTTGACCAGATTGATTTTGTATAAGAACAATGTCAAGGTTGTCCGAATGTGCACGTTTTGGTTAAATCCCTCCCCCGAACCAAGCAAATAAAAAATGTATAGTGATTGTTATGAACATCGTGTATGTGAATTTTTAGAAGCTGGAGGACCACAATACTACAGAAGCAAGCGACCATTATACGTCATGATACCGTTCACTAGTGTTTGCTTGTTGTGATGTTACAACAGTTGCATCCTTCGATCAGTTAATTTGATTGGCGGCAGAGAAAACTTCCTTATGCATAGGGGGTGCGGGGTCATGAGTTCTAAGTGGTCACTCTTCTCATACACTTCATAAAGTGTTCGCATGCAACAATGCTTCTCAGATAGCCTCTGATGAGGAAGGCTAAATTAATGCCATCACGTCCACCAAAAAGTGATGACGAAAAACCGTCACTCCGGGACTGTAAACCGGGCTGATGAACAACCGGTACATGGCAAAAATGTTGACTCAAAATCAATGAATAGAAGACATACGATCCATATTCACCACTCACTAGTTTTGGTAGTGGTTAACGTTGTGACTGAACATCTAAATTTATTGGGCACCTTGGACATCTGACCCCGTCCGAAAGAAATATGATCCAATAAACTTGATACCGATCCCAATTGTTTTTGGTTGCCTCACACCCACCTAATGCCATGCTAATTTGGCTTTCGCTAGCCTAGGGCTCCGGTAGCGAATACCACAAGAGAACTCAACTTGTTGACAAGATATTGAAAATTGGTCCTCGTGGCTCGGGTGAACTGAATTCCGTGAAACGTTTGCAATTAATTTGCCAAGCTCCGCGAACAGGCGAAATGAAAAATCAGCTTCTTTAATTAAAACAACCGTCCACTACCCTATCCACGTGCAAATCATGAACCGATGATTTTTGTTGTAACGACTTGACTCGTTCCCCATGCAGTCTAGTTTGATATGCACATCTAAAATCAAAATAAAATTATACAAATGACTTCACATGTCTATAACTATCGTAATCAGGTTTGAGTTATGTCCAATTAGTTGGTTTGATGAAAAATTAATGTGTTTGACTCGTTTGACGAAATCATATGTCACTTTCCGGTTGTAGGCACCGATTCTCTGTTAAACCTATCTGAATATTTTACCTTTTTGCACTTTTTGCTTTGGTAGATACAATATGGGGAGTTTATCATGTCTAGGATTAGTCTCATTGATTAATTTGGTTTGGGTACATATACGAATCAATATGGCCAGGGTATTATCGAGCCTTGCATTCTCAGCATTTCAACAGTTATCATTGCAATGGGATTAGCATCTTTCAAGAATTTCCGACATCTCCCTCTATCTCTTTTGTCTTTATATTGCATACCATCTCGATACATGACAAAATAGATAAAGTAATCAAAATCTGAAAGTGGTATATCAATCCAGATTCGCTGTCGCTTGGTAAAACACCACGCTTGCCTTGTGGATACCAAGTGAGATGGTCACGTCAAGGCTATTGGTCCATTGTGTCAGATGTCCTGGCCGAAAACTGCATTCTTGTGTTCAAGTGATTCAGTGCTTTTAATATTCTTCGTCAAAAGTGTTTTGTAATCGAATAAATGCTAAACGCCTTGGTCAAAAGACTTTATGTTTAGTTGAGAACCCAATTTTAAAAGGACGAAGTATAATAAACGTCCTCATCGGCTCATAGCTCCTTCAGGAATGACCGAAATTGGTGGCACTTTTCCACTACTCAAATTGACTCTGGAAACTGTGCGAACCTCTTGGACTGAAGTAGGGCTCTCACCAATCAAAAAGTGATTGAACTGTTGTGAAGAGAATCACAACTGTCACTGTTGCTGCAATCCTATTTATCCTTTAATCACATGAATTCCACGAACGTATCCGAACAAAAAGTTTACTATGTCGGGGTCTTCATTGGAATTATTGAAATAATAACACTTTAGTGAGGCACAGCAAGTGTTACTTGACCTAGTCAAGGGAGCGGCTGAAGACATTCTAATGAGTTAAGTAGGAAGAACCCAACCTTGGCAAATCGCTTGAGCGACCTGATGATAAGGGGACTTGGAAACAACATCTTCCAATCCTCCAGCAGCAAAACTGTACCGGGTTCACCTGAAATACGGCTGGTGTCAGACAATTGTGGCTGCATTTGAAAAGGCAGGTAGATCTGGAAACCCAAAGCAGTGAAGAGCACGGACCCTTATTGCAGATACAAAGAATTTGGGGCGCTGATTGTTTTGAGAATGACGGTGTCTATGAATGTGTGCAGCCAGTGATGAAGGACTGTAGAAAAAACTGATCAACTGCTGAGATTGGTGAAGACTATTTGCTTTTTCTCTCCATTGAACGAACTTTATGGAAGCTTTGTGGCTAAACTGCCTCAGTTAGAACCCTCTTGTTGGCCGTTTGAAAGCCAGAAATCGAGACTTCAGCGGGTACTGTGAGAATTTCTGTGGTGTACAGAAATGCGATATAAATTGAACCGGTCGCCATGAACTGAGGTTCAGCTAACGGCACAATCAAGAAAGAATTATTCTATACCGATTACGTAAGAAATTCATCGTTAGGAAGGCAACCCATCCTATTGAATAAGGTGATCAAGGTTTTATTCAGGTTTTGAGAGCGATCCGGATGAATAGAAGGAGGGAACGCATGGTTACGTGCTTTTGGTTTTATGTCGCTAGGGCATCCAAAGATATCCATCTTGAGAAGGTGACCCTGTGGAAAGATAAAGTTTATCTACATCGGTTCCGGTAGTAAAAATGACACCGAAAACTAGTTCCTCTCTCGCTTGAGCATCTAGTGTTAGGGGTTTCAACTGATTCAAAACATTATGATCCATAGAATGAGAGACAAGAACCTAGGTGCATGAGAGAGGCTTCAGGGAAAAATTGCGAATCAGTGCCACAAGAGTGCATACAGAAAATTGCCCCTCGGTGAGAGTATTGAAAGTTGAGGGGATATCACTAGTGACTAACCAATACGTAACTATTCGGTCAGTAGCCGGGGTTCGATGGTGTGAACGGGATCAAAAAGTATCCAGAAATTTCTGTTAATTAGGTGTAAATTTTATACCTGAGGGTGAAAGAATAGTCCACTTTCCCCTATGCAAATTCGAGGCGGCATCATAAGGGTGATAACTGATTTATTGATATTCATTCATTGCAATAATAAATCTTAGATAATTCGAATGTTTAACAAACCGGAATATTTCGGACAAAATATAAATCCAAAATCAAATTCTATCCCTATGAGCCACTAAGGTGTGTGTGTGTGTGTGTGTGTGTGTGTGTGTGTGAGCGTACAGTTCGTGTTGTGTTCGGAACTGGCATTCACGACCGAAAAACGCAAACTCGGACCTACATGAGTTTCCACTTCCCAAAGAAATGAGACATCCGTCACAACCGTTCACCACAGCTTGTACAATGTCTGTCAAAGCGAACGAGCATAGTTCCGCCTGCATTCGGAATAAAATCAATGACCGGGGTGTGTGAGGAGTTGCGAGGTTCGCAAAGGGTGGAGAGAATAGACAAAGTTGAGAGAATAAACTCAATCAAATGCTTTTACTCACAACATAATAATAATAATAATAATAATATAAAAAAGAGGCATATACGTGTGTGTGTGGGTGTGTGTGTGTTTGTGCGTGATCAAACACATACTGTCAAATGTTTTCCTCTTCTCTCAATGGTGATCACCGGAAAGCAAGAATATTTGGACGAACAAAAATAAACTCGATTCCTCAGTCCCGAATTTTTGTACCAGATAGAATTTGAAAAGTGATTAACTGTATACTTCACCGGATACCCGATGAACATTATCGACAGGACAAATGGGAAGCCAATATAATCAAAGACGGGGGAAAGGCAAAAATTGCTTATCCAAAACTTTACTATATTCTACTTTATTTGTGAGATGAACGAATTGAGTAGAGTGTGAGGACGATGCACCAAAGGCTAATAAATTCCGGTTTATGTACTGCGATGAAGTTAGGAAAAGAGTTGTTTGGTTGTGATTGGAAAGTCATGCATTGTCATCCCAAAAGCAGCTGCCAACTTTGAAGCACAGAGCGAAAAAGATAATGCACTATTTTTATTTACAAGAGAAATTGCTTCAGTTCCAGAAGACAGGATATGTGAACTGGAATACCAGACGGTGCTCAACAGCAATTGTTTCGACCTCGGTCAATCAGTTATGTAAATGCACCGACCGACCCAACCGAGTGAGGATTGCCAACTCGGACCTCACTGGCAAGCACACGATTCACTTGACAACAGTGGTTCATTTTCTAGCTAGCTTACACGGTGAGTTCTAACGCAAAATGATCTGTTCCAATACTAGAGGGATTGCAAATTGCCACTGTAGTATGTATGCATGCCAGGCGAGTTAGTCAAATGCTAAAGCTATAACAATAGCAAAGCGTACTCTTCGTCAGTGCCGGTAGGCTGATACACTTACGGTCAACAGATTCCGTTTTCGTTTGAATAATATGATCTCTAACAACGACAAAATTACCCTCCATCAAAGAGACTCCCTGATCTAACGTAATACGTTAGATTATATAAATGCACATATCGCGTGCAAAGAACAATCGTCTTTGGTTTGTTGTACTGCAGAGCATTGACTTATACGCAACAGTTCACAAAGTGTCTGCCTCAGTCCCGTAATAACTACGACCGTTCCGACAGCTGTGTGCAACTTGTTTTTCCATTTCATGCGTACAACCACATGCTCGCACAGTATCAAACATACAGATACACACCCAATCCCCCATAATAGAGTGTAGTGAATATCACATACAACCCCCAAACATCAGTTTGTTATGCTTCAGCACCTTAGTTAAGTGGATCACTATCATCGAACTTTGTGATTCATCCAAGGAAGTTACGTATTCCGGCCGGTGCGTGTTTCTGCTAGCCACGAGCTCTCTCAGTTAACAAACGATGAATTTTGCACAACAATAGCACGAAGTAGTACTGATGACCATATGTTTTACTTATCGTTATGTAGCCAGTCTTATTGGTTGTATTGTGTCTAACATTATACCAAGTTTTACAGCTCTAAGTGTTTATACTTCCCATTCTGATAACCCGGTACAAAGTCGAAACAGATCTCTGGTGCTGTTTCCTGAATATCATCGTGTTTTCCAATATACTAGTTCTGTTTTACTTTTTATGATACCATATCATTCATCGTCCTCACACCGAACACAATCGTTTCATGGTCTAATTTGATACATCGACCACATTTCGATAAGTACCTGCCCAAATCCCATGAGCTTTAAACCACGAATCCAATTTGTTGATCTCAGCTGAACTCATCCGCATTGCGGAGTGTTGAGGGACAAACAGCTTTCTTCCGTCTCTGCAGCTTTATGCCAACTGTCCCTTTCTTCCACCTTTGTCAGAATTTCGCTTCCCCTGACATTGCGTCTATCGAACAATGTTTTGGACCACAGTTACAGCTTTGTGATAAGTGCATAAATTAATTCTGTGTCCANTGTGTCCAGTTTTCTAAAGATAACTATTCCTTTCGGCCTCCAGGCGCTGTTGTATTCTCCGAGGCGAACACAGGTTCATATTGGCCAATGAGGAACTTTGAGAAACAATCCTTCCAATGACTTTCAGCTTGAAGAGATCTGTTACTATTCATTGTGAATATCAAATGTTTAGGATTCCGAAAAAATCTGTCACCCGTCATTGGCATCCAGTAACGAATCCGAAGTTTGTGTGCAGAAATTTCTCAGGCAACTTCGGAAAAATTACATTTATTTAGAATTAGCGGTGGTCATTTCAGCTTTTACGAAGTTCTTGCGCGCTGTAGCAGGAAGTTGAGCATACCGGTTGATTTTCATTCCTGCTTACTGTATCTGGTCTAGTTATTACCATTTTCATTAATTTCGCAGTTTTTTACTTGATAAGAAACTGTCACACAACAACGGAGCACCTTAAACAAAACATTGTTTCGTTCAGTTCAGGTTCTCAGAAGTTTGGTGAAGCGGATCAATATACTACCTGATACCTCCCAATCGGATACCAACTGTTATCCGGATTAACCGATCGCTTGAAGACAAACGTCACCCGATTACACAATCAATTGTTATTACTAGACCGTATTGCTCAACATGCTCAAGGCTTAAAGTCCGATGTGGATTTTGTTTTTAACGTTCGAATTTCACTTTCTTCGTGGTGTTGTGTTTTTCTTGCATTATATCCTCTCTCTTCCTGAATGACTTGTCAGAATTAAATAGATCTTATTTAGGGCATCGTGACTCGAATGCATCAATGTACTCCTCCTGTCGGTTTCTGTCCGCAATATTGAAAACAGCAGTACTACGCTGCTATTCACTTATCTTAATGCTTTTCTCTTCAGGATGCGCATAATTCTCACAGTTTTCTTTAACTCGCA